AACATGGACCAAAATGTAAGAATGCTGCAATGGAAAATGGAAGTGAATTGAGGCCTGTATTTTTAGAAGGGGGAAGAAAGGAAATATAAAAGGCTGTGCTTAGTACACTGCACATGAGGTTTAGGTTTTATTATGTTACACACACCTCCTCCTCCATTCTGCTGCCATGCAGCTTTTTCCTGTAAGCACCTTCTGTCTGGAAGAACAAGATAACAGAGGCTTGAATAAAATATTTCACAAAAATATTAATCTGCCTTCTCTATAAATAAGGTTACGTTTTCTCAGCTCTTCCAGTTTGTGTGTGATAACGCGAAGACTCCGTCATGACCCCCTGTTACCACCCAGGGAAGATCCTCGGAGCATCAATCCTGTTACTGAAGTTTCCCTCTTCTCTTAGGAAGGCAGCTGAAGTTTATCCGTAAACTTACACATCATATCTGGAAAACACACGTTGCTTCTCAGTGCATCGCAAATGCTGCTCTGCGGTGGGTTTGCTGACAGTTTGCAGACCCTGTAGGACACAGCGACAACGGGCCACCAGTCTGAGCCGCTTCTGTGCCAGTGCCAACACTCAGAGACTTTTGGAGCAGCTTCAAGGTGCAATGCAACAAGACACTGGGCTTTAAAAAACAATATGAAGAGGGCATTAGATTTGTTATTTTTTGAGCAGTTATTATTTGGTAGGCACCAAGAGCGTGTCTTCACGTTGGCCGAATGCAGTCCCCGAACAGAATAAACAACCTTCATACCATAGTAAGGAGGAAAAAAGCCTTCCCTTTGATTTTTTCTTTATTCAGAGCACTGAAGGCTTTCCACTGCTGCCCACTGGTGAAGAACAAATCTTTGGTACGATAAACAACTGGCTTTTGTAAAGTCCAAGACATCCTGCTACCAGGAAAAGTGTCCAACTTGAAGCCCCAAAACTATGAGCAGCATTTTGTTTTCTGGTTGCTATTTATTAACGAAGCTGAATCCACCCACAGCCTGCCAAAAATTGTAATGCTTTTTGTACATGCAGCACAGCATAGCTCAGTTTTGGGTTGTGATGGCTGGGCTCCTTCTACAAACGCCCATCATAAATGAGAAGTCAAATAATTACAGAAGCGTTGCCATCAGTAGCTGGACGACAGACAAAGCTTTAACAATTTGTCTCCAGCTTCTGTAAAAACAGGATGTCTTTGCACTAACACAATAAAGTGTCAAGGGGTGAAAGATTTTTCTAATGCTTAACCTGAATTTTCCTGAGATTAAATCATATTCTGCCATTTCATCCATTATTTCCTCCCTTCTCTGCAGGGACACAGAAAACAGATTGCTGCTTTCCCCTTTGCAGTAGGTTTTCGCCTATTCCAAACCTGTTTTGAGAATGGGATGCCCAGGCAGATTTGTTTGTTCTGCTGCTGTGGGAGAAGGTTTCTGCACCTCTGCTCTTTCTGCGGCTCCCTCTTCTGCACCCTTGCCAGTCAGCGGCATCCTTCCCAAACTGGGTGCTCGGCTGAGCGTAGTGGGAGCGTGACACCGTACACGGCCGAACGCCTGCTCGTCTATCATGGTATCGTGTTTGCCTTTTCACAACGCCTTTTTGTAAGCGTGCTCATCCTTGCACACTCAGCCCAAGAGGCTTCCCCGGAGCACGGTGCTCTGCTCCATCCCATCCCGGGGCAGGTGACGGGTCCTGCCTGTGTGCAGCACCGCACACGCTCTCCTGTCTGCTCGGACCGAAACCGGCAAGATCACCGGGCTTTTAGACCTTGTCCTCTGTTGTGCTCACAGCCTGGTGGCATCTGCAAATGCAAGGAGCGCATCGTGCCATTCTTTTCAATTAGCAGTAGCTCCCCTTAAAAATGCGCATGTGCATTACGTTGGCTCAGACCTTGGTTTAAATTGCTTCGATGGAGGTAGGTGATCTGGAGCGACCGACCTCAGCAACAAGCACTTGAACATCAGCTACTGACCGACAGACACGTTATTTTTGTTGAGATCACCCCAGCCCACTTTGCACGCAGGCGACCAGGTTATCGGCTGGGCGATGGAGCGAAGGGGGTCTCGTCCGAGGTGGCTGCTGAGAAACAACTGAAAAGGGTCGCGCAAGTTTCCGCATGCCACGGCCGGTTCGTGGGAGTTTTTCCCCTTCTGCAGACGGGAAGAAGCAACGCAGACATGTTTCTGGACGGGTTATGTCCCTGCCAGAACTAAATGAAGGGCTTCAATTCAGAGCTACAGCACCCTCGGGATGTCGAGACATACAAAACAAAGAGGGGATTTAGAAAACAAGTGAAAAGGCATATTCTATTTAGATAATAAAATTAACATCACGAAAATTGTTTCCTGGAAAATAATGCCATGCTACATTACATATAATTATGGCACTACTGGAACAGTAATTAAGAGGCAGTCAACTAATAAATTGCAATTCAGAGGTGAAGCAGCACCACGGCTCCTCCCGTTCCTGCGCCAGGGCCATGCCGGCGGCTCCCCTGCCGTGCCGGCCCGCGCCAGCCGTGCCAAGGGCCTGGCTCTCCCGTGCTCCGGCTCTTCAAAGCGAATCCTGCAGCTATAGCCAAGGTGGAAAGTTTCGCAGGAAACCCCGAGCGGAGGAAGGCATCATATGTCAAGCGGTGATGAGGTGCAAAGAGGAACCTGTCACGAGCAGCACAAAGGGATGGTAAATATCTTCTCCCCAAGTCCCCGGCTTTTCTGCAGCCTGTCAGAGCTGGATATGTCAGCTCCTTACCTGGCCACCGCCAACGAACTGCAAAACCAGCCCTGCGGCCGCCTGCTCGGGAAGCAATGGGGCAGACTGCGAGCAGTGGCGTAGAAAAAATCCAGAACTTTTAAAAACAAATTAAATCTAATCCAGAGGCTGAAGTAACTTGGTTTTATGGACTCCGTAAACTACTGTATGGGGTTTGCAAAACTTGCCTGGCTTCACAAATTTCTTCTGGGGTTTCGACTTCTGGTTTCTCATCCTTTCTGCCGCTCTGTGTGAGTCACGTCTAAACAACATCCGAACGACGGCGACTTCTCCTGGCTGCGGCAGCGCGGGGGGCACGGCAGGACAGCCAGCTTTCCTGGGAATGACAGCTGGCACCAAATATACAGCTCACAGTTTTCAAACAAACATTCAGCCACTCCAAATGGGATTTACTTCCATGCTGAAGCAGGTATTTACATGCTTGAGCATCCAGACTTGAAAACGCTTGCTACTGCGCCGAGGCTACTTGCCTTCCTGTTGTTTTCAACCAGAGTCATCCCCACTTTTCAGAAGGTTTTTTTTTTCCTCCTTTCTGCACCTTTTGTTAATACCTCTTCTAAGCAGGATCTGAAATTGCTTCACGGAGACCTGTGTGCATCAGGGGGGGTCACGGCAAAGTCCCCAGCGCCAGGAGGGGACGAGGGACCGCTGCAGTGGGCGCGGGATGCACAAACTGGGATGACTGGGAAGGGGCAACAGACCCATCTCCACCGGCAGCCACTGGAGCAGGGAGGTGACGGACACGCTCCGGGGCTGACGCGCACCTCCGGCACGGGAGGCGAGCACCCTCCTCCTGCCAGCGCAAGGAGACCCTCGATGCTAATTGCTGTTAATCAGCCGGTGTGGACAGACACCTTGGCAGGCACGTGCTCCAGCAGCCCCCTACACCCAGGGGAACAGAAACACTTGGGGGAACCTTCCAGTGAATTAAACACTACTAATAAAGATGCAAAGGAGGCTGTGTTATCTCCTCCGCCTCCTCCTCCTCCCCGGGCTGTCCCGTACATCCCGGTCACTCAGCACCTCACCCCGCTCTGCGGAGAGACGGCATCTCTCGCCACCGGCACAGCCCATGCTCGCCTGTGATGCATCGGTATTTATGCCCTGTCCTTTGGTTTTAAACCTGAGAGCACTTTGTATTTTAAAGCTTTCGTGCCCTGGAAACAAACAGTCTTTCTCTCATCTCAGACGCAACCTTCGCTTGGGTAAGCTGGATTTCTCCTCCACTGCTAGAGCCCTCCCCCAAAAAAAACCAGTCAGATCTAAACCGACAGCTCCCAACCTTCTGCACCTTTATGTAACGCTGGGCACCGTTGCTGGCTTCAGTTTTAACCTTTGCTGTCGGCTTGCTGAGGGATAAGCATACCTAATGCAGATTAAATGAAATTCCAGCACACAAAAACTAGCGGGGTAAATATAAAACCATAGCCAAAGAGCGATGGTTATGTCATCGCTGAGGAATCCAAAAGGCGCCTAAATGAAAATACCACAAAGAAAGCAAACAGAGAAGTTTGGGGCAGGGGGAGAGGAGCGAGGGAAGAGAATACACCGGGAGAGGATACGGGAACAAAGAGAAAGCCCGTGATAGTCTGAGATGGGTTTGCCTCATGCCACTGCTGTAAGCCCCAGCTCTGTAAAACCCGGTCCAAGTTCTCATGCTCACACGAATGAGGTTTTGCAGAATAGGCTAAAAGATGTAAAATAACTAATTTTACAAGTTTTCCCTCCTCTTTTGTAATTTATGGCTGTCACCTATTTGCTGATACCACAGGGGGACAATATTTTAAGGGACCCTAGGTCCATAGGTAGGCAGGCAGGCAGTGAAAGCAGCGGCCGGTGTCCCCAGGGGTGTCCCCAGCAGGGATGCGGGTTCGAGCCGGCCGGCGGAGCGGGCAGCTGGGGATGCTGCTGGCCCTGGCCAGTCCCGGGCACCCTGCGAGGTTCTGCCCCGCTGTGCCACCGCTTCCCCAGGGACAGGTGCAATCTGAGGGCTTTCTCAATGTCTTTAACTCTTGTTGTGGCTGAGAAACAATTAAAAAGCCTCACATAAAATTTCCAAGAGTTTCATTACACTAGCAGCAGACATCCTCTAGGAATACAACCTTTTTTTTTTTTTTTTTAACATAACTAACTTAGCTGGGGCTTCAAATATCCCCTCACCCGCACCAGCACATAGTAAATTCATATAAATTGTTTTTCCTGGTCCAGGGACACCCAAGTCTCAAGACACCCAAAAGGCACGTACCTGGAAGGCAGCAAACCACATAAGCCAGTCCAGGCGGTAGTGGTAGGGGGTTATAAAGCATGGCCTCCTCTTCAAGTCCCCAGGCTTGCATTTGAAGTCATACTCCTCCCAGACAGCAGCGGGGTCGTTGGGATCCAGGCTGGACGTCCCCTGAAGGACAACTTCTGTTCTCTCCTTGGTAATGCTGTGGGACACAACACGATACTGTTTTTGTCTCAAGTCATGTAAAATTGCTCGTTCATGAGAGACAACGTGGCAACACGAGTCAGTGGCCTTGTGGTACAGTTGGATCGTGATGGGTCACGCTACAGAGAACCTGTCTGTCCAGCAGACTTTTCTCTCTCCAGCAGCAAAGTACAGGGAAAATTTCAATTTCCATGCCCTCCTACACTCCCCTCTATCACACTGCAGTTGTGCCAGTCCAAGGAGGGACGATGGCCCTGAAAGATGATTCCTACTGAAATCGATGGGTCTATCTTTCTAGATCAGAGCCTAACACTTGTCCAAGACATTGAGAGAATATAAGGAGTGTCTCCCAAGTCCCACATGAGCATCTTCAACCTGCACCAACTTCTTTGTCCCATGATTCTGAAGAAAACCTTTGTTTCTGTTACTCTGATGACTCCCATGATACAAGAGCTCTCCGACTACAAGCTCCTGATGACACCAGAAAGCGGAGATGAAAGATGGTCACAATACATAGCTCCATCTCCAGGTTTTTAGCATGTGCCCTGTGCAAAAATAGAGGCTTGTAACTGGCACGTGTGGCTGCCCTAATGGCACGGCCACCGACGATATCTGCGGGGGAAGTTTCACAGGCGATTGCACACAGAAATCCTGCCTTGGCGTTTCAGAGGTCTGGCCCTGAGACCTCCAGCTGCAGGACCAGCAGAGCAGCTTCCAGTTGGGACCACTCCAGCATCCCCTTTGCGAGCCTGGCTCTCCCCACAGCACCGCTGGTCACGGAGCGCTGAGCTTCGGCTCGAGCTTTGGCCACGGCAAAGGGCAGGACCCGCTCACAATGAGCCCGGGTTAACTGGCTACAGCCGCTTGGGCCTTGGGGAGGTGGTTGGCTCCATACGGAGCATCCCCCAGGAGCTGACTCTTGGGGCACCATTAACAGTTGTCTCTACGCACCCAAACTTTCACCATCCCGGCTGGAAGACAGGTCTCATGGAGCTAGTACTGAGCAAGAGGAGGAGGTAATATGTGAGCCAATGCAAACCAAGCCAAGAAAAGCAGAAAATGTAAAAGAAAAAAGCCCCCCATACCCATTTGATCTACAGAAACTTCGTTCAAAAGCACCCCAGCCTTATGGCAGGTCATGGCAGCCTTCGCTGTTGGCAGGACTCTCTCTGCACAGCAAGGTGGCAGAGCATTGGGGACGGCAAACTCCCGAGGCCACAGAAAGCCCATGTGAAAACACCATCATCAAATTCTCAATGACCTGTCAGTGACGCTCGCCTACACTGGAGGGTTGTTTTCCATAACGAACACATAACTGCGTAACTCTGCCTATCAAAGTTGTCCAGCTCCCAACACCCTTTTAATTTTTTACTACTTTGGTCCTTCCTCCTCCAACCCAAGAAACTGAAAGTTTGGAAACACACAGCCTCCACCTTCTCCCCTGATGGCTTCCAGTGATAGATGCTTACAACCCAAGGAATGCTGTACGTCTCCGCTTATAATTGTTACCTACATTTAATAGATTTCTGGATTCTCCAGCCAAGTTCCATATTATACGCTGGGCTGAGTTATGAGCCGTGGCCAGCTGCCCAATGGTTAGAAACACACTGTAAATCAGGGACACCAAATTACTAATAAAAGTATGTTCCTACTGTGTGATTCAAAATATGTCAAGTTTCACATAATCGTATATTCATTATAAGCTGCAATCCTCTTTTTATTGGTTTACATAGGCTGGAATTACAAACATATTACAGCAGCATTTCATCACATGCTCTTTAGGTTCTGGTAACTGTTGAAACAGAAACCATAGACTGAAGAAGAAAAAGAACAACAACCCAAAGAAAACAATCTCCCGTAGCTTCACCACTCCAGCCTTCAAAGAGGTTCGGGGTTATTTCTCCCTCTCTCAAAAAAAAGAGGAGAATCTTCAGCATTTTCCACAACTAGCGTTGATATTTTTAACCAAGTGTTTTTCTAACTTTTTTCTTTCCACAGAAATTTCTGCTATTTGAAAAATTGGGGAAAACATCATATTAATTTGAGTGTTCCAGGTGTCCTCTGCATCTCCAGTGCTCACTGTGAGACGTGCTCCTCCCCTTCACCATCGGCTCAGCCAGCCCTCTCAACAGCCAACCTGCTTCGCCTTTTCTAAAACCTATTTAATTACCATTGGCTTCTCCTGGGGGACCTTGTCCAGAGCCCACTAACCCAAGAGCCGCCCATCCCACCACTCGGCTCAGACCTCTGGGGAACACCCTGTGGCCACCACAGCAAGGCGGTGGCAAAGCCAGAGGTCCCGGCAGAGAAGACTGGCCCTGTTGTTGCCCCTGGGGCAAGCTGTTCTGATGAAGCCCTGCTTTTCAGCATTTTCTCAGCTGTCCTGGTCAGGAAGAGGCTGGGAGGGACGGCACACAAGAACGGTTATGGTGAGCCCAACTGTGGCTGACCGAAGCCTGGTGACCTGTGCCCAGAAACCCCAGACTCCGATGTTTAAAAACCAGCCTGTTTGCAAACGCAGCTGGAGATGCTTCCCTTGTCCAGTCCCACCTTGCAGCCGTAAGCGGGATTTCCTGAGCTGAAGGCAGCAGCCAGACTGCTGCTGGGCCTGTCCTCTCAATCTGCCTTGTTCTTTTCTGAGGCCATTTATACTTTCGTCTCCACAGTTTCCTGTAGCAATGAATTCCCCAAGTCACTTGTTGGAAAAAGCATTTCCTCTTGTTGGCCTAAAATCTGCTACCCAATAGCTTATGTGAATATTTACATAAGGGAGAGCAAATGCGCGGAGGGGAAGAGAAGTTCACCATAAATAAAGCGGGCTGGTGATGGTGAAGACTATCCACTGGATGAACTCTCTTATGGATATTTTCATCCTGCTATTACATTTGCTACATCAATATACTGAGCTAACTAAAAGTAGCTCAAGGAAAATAAATTGTAATTCGGTGGGAAAGAAACCTGCTCCTTCTCTCCTCTCTCATAAACAGATACTCCAAATCTACTGGCTACTGGAAGGATTTCTCTTTAGGTTCAAGATACACAGACTGGCTGTCAGACTATGCTGGAGAAAGGAGCAGAGCCATACAACGTGACGTTAAAATACATGTACCTCCCGAAAGCTCCGTACGTGTTCACTATTCTGAGAGGGTTGAACGAGGTGTTCATCACTTGTCTGGAGTTGAGCAGGTTTAGGACAACCGGGATGCTGAGATAAGCAATCAGGAGGCCAAAGGAGATGTTCACCACTCTGCGGACATAGCAGCCTGTTCGGGACACAAAAGCAGACCAGAAGAAGGTGATTTCACCGCCGGCGATGGGGTCTGCTCCCCCAGCTCCCCTGCCCACCCCCCCAGCAGTGACTGGGACCCTGCCTGGGTGCCCACAGCTGCTCTCGGCTCTGGGGCTGGGGCTGACAAAACGCTTCGCCGTTATCACCCCGACCTTGCCAAGGGCCATACGCTATCGCTCCAGAGATCTGCCTTTCTCTAAATAGTCTGAGAAAGGGCTAAAAAGAAAAATGTCTAAAATGTAAGATTAATCATTGCTTTAATACAGGGGAAAAAACACAGCTGGCACTTGCACCTTGCCCAAAATTGCCCTCCTGGTTTGTAAGCTGTGCGTGGAGTGCCTCCAGCTCCCCGTGGCTCCGCTCCTGCCCGGGGCTGCCTCCTCCCTGCCGCCCCAGGCTCTCACCACCAACTTATTTCTTGCATTTTCCTCCCTCTCGCTCACTAGCTCCATTCAGACCTCGTTTTCCTTTTGCAAAATCTCTATTGCTTATCATTTATGTATGAGATGTGTGTTGCTTCACCAGGGCTTTGGTATTCGGTTTGCAGGAGCAGCACTGTGCTGGGTTTCAGTCTAAGGAGACACCTACTGCAATCAGACAAATAAGCAGACGTGACCTCTGAGGGTTCCTACCCTTATGGCCGTTTTAAATTTATTTAACATTAACAGCCAAAGGATCAGATTCAAAGCAATTGCATGTAGCTTTCCCCTTATCTCTGCAGGAGAGGGATGTTTATTTGAACCTCTCTCAGAAGCTATTAATAATTGTTTAGTCTGAGAACATTTCTGGAGAATCATTTGATTTGGGAAAGAGCTCGCTGAGATGCCTCCCTTCACCCCCCCGTGCTGCTGCGAGAGCAGTAGGAGTCTGCTGGGCATTTTTTTATCTTTTAGATGGGCTGAGCTTCCCAGCCTGTAATGAAAGAGCAGGTACAGACACAGAGCTCTCCACCATACGGGCAGCATCAGCGGCTCCTCAGGTCATAGTTTATGATGATAATCATGCACAGACTGCTTGTCCTGCAGCAGGTGGTGATGGTCATCATGCCCTTGGGGGTCACAGCTACTGAGAAAAAAGGTTTAATACAAGGAAAAAAAAAAATCTACATGGCAAAGATGGAGCAAAACTTGGGGAAGGAGCATGGGACACGAGCCAGTGGGATCTGGATTGAGCAGGCAGGAGCTGAGCACTAGCAGTGGGAATTCGAGGTCTCAGTAGGAATTAAACACACACACTTCAAGGATGTGGCCAGAGCCTTGTAAAATCAGGTCACGAGCAGGGCATGGCTGGGTACCCTCCTGTCTTCTGCTCTGGTGACCCAGGGGTGAGAGCTCCTCTAAGCCTCTTGCCACACAGCCCGTCAGCACCAGCTCAATAACCTCTGCTTTGTTAGCAGAAAAAATATACAGAAATCCAAATTCACCCAGAATATTACAGATACCCTACCCTTTACTTACGGATTACCCCTTTTTAAAAGCCCAGAACAGGGACACTCCAGAGCAGTGGTATGTAGGGATGGTTCTCCTTGCTTGGTCACCCTGGCTCAGTAAGGTTTTCTGGAGAACATCACAGAAAAGGAGCAAGCTCTTCAAAAAAGGATCTACCTCCCCCTCACGGTGACTCGCCGAGTGCCATAGCGAAGAGGTGCCCTTTGGTTTCTCCTCCAGAAAGGAAGGCGTAACTTGAGTGTTGTTTGGGACTGGATGCAAAAATACAGTTAGTAGGAAAGCTCTAGGCTCTCACAGCCTCTAAAGCAAAGCTACCGGAGGGGAAAAGCTGTTGAAGATTTCTTCCAGCAAAATATGTAAGATAGGAGACACAGAAAGTTTAATGAAACTGCCTTAGCCTTGCTGAAACTAATGCTTCTGGTTAATAAGCTGTGTTTCTTAGTAGATGAGAAAGGACTCCAGACAGATGCTGTATCTTGCTGACATTTTTCATTCTTCTGACAGATGTTTAGTATATTTAAAAATGAGCATCTGTGATTGTTGTTGATATTATAGGCAATTTGTTGCTTATATGCGGTTTATAAAAATGCTACAAACACAACTCTACATCTGTTATGCAGCCCCGTGAAAAATATCCCAGTGTTGCTTGTGCAGGCGATCTTCTGGAACCGGGCTGCTTGAAAACTCCCTTCAGAAGGAAACATCAGCCACATTGATCCCCTTTGTTCAGTTACAAACCCCCTTGTATTTGCTTTTCCATATCCAGGCTACGAACATGAATTCACCTCCTCCCTGCTTCGAGGACCTCGCTCCCGGCCGTGGCAGTGCCCACGAGCAGCTGCTCCTCTCGTCTTCTCCAAGCAGGACATTGAACGGGGAACGGCCACCTTCCCAGCAGCCACGTCTCTTTCCCAGTTAGCAAAAGAGTTGTTGGACCCACAACGGTTCTTTCTAGAAGACCAACCTCATGTCCAGTTACTTAACCAGGGAAGCAGAGTGCTCGTGCAGCGCTAGCACCCATGGGTGCAAAGGGCAGGAGGGCAGATGGGTCACAGGGCCACCGTGCCACGGGGGAGAGAGGAGAGCAAAGGTGACAGCTGCTTCTGCACCCAACTTCTACCAAAAAATCCTCACCTCAACCCACTGGGTCTTTCGTACTTGACTTTAAATAGTCAAAATCAAAAAAAAAAAAAAGGTAAAAAAAAATAATAAATCACAGGATAAATCGTGCATCTCCACGTTGCTTCTTTCGGCTTGGAGTCTGACGCTCACTGGGGTGAGAACGGGAAGGACTGACTCTCGGGAGCAGAGGTCTCAGACTTGCTGCGGACACCGGCGCTGCGAGGAGGACGTGTCCTTTAGCAGCAATGTCCCCGCAGACCCTCATGAACCAGCCACTGCCTTCATGCTCCCCATCCGCAGCACCAGGTCCAGGCACCCTCCAAACCCCAGAGGAGACCAGGCAGGGGCAGAGTCATCTCCCTGCCCACCCAGGTTTGCTCCAGGAGGAGACGACGGCTTTCGAGATGAGCACACCAAACACACCTCTGTGCCAGTTTTCCCCCTCTGGGAATAACTCACCCAGGGGAAGCTGCTCGCCGGCCGCCTCTTTGAGCTGCATCTCTGCCACCCGCTCCTTCACCCCTCCTCGCCTGGAGCTGAAGAGGAACCCCAGGCTGCCGTCGTCGAAGCAGGCGATGCTGGGCACGATGGTTAGCCAGTTGAGAAAACTCAGGTTTCCACTTATGATCAGAAGCACCTAAACGGGAAAGAAAGCAGCAGAAGGTGTTGCATCTGCTTAAATGACGACAGAAAAGCGTGGGGAAGGAAACGCCGGATAGATTTTAGCACCCTAGCACGTACTTTGCTGATTTTCCACGATTGCAACAGTGATGGCAAACCTTTCCCTCCCTGCCCAGGCTACAGCCCAAATGTACCCCACTGGCTTGCAATGCGAGCTCTGCCCTTGCTTTCAGCAGGAGAAAGATCAGCCAGGGTATAGTGTGACTCGATTTCCATAGTGCTCCCGGTGACGGCGCAGCGGTTTGGCCCCAGGGGAATCGTCTGCTTCCTGCTTATGCCGATGTATCTGTGACAGCAACGTTCCTGAAACCCTTCAGGAGGAAATATTGGAACTTCTAATTAAAGAGCAGCATTAAATATAGAAGTGTGCAGTTTTTAAGAGGCTTTTTTTTTTTTTTTAATTTTAGCTTTTATTGGCCGTTTAGGAGACTGTCTTGCATGTGTAAGGCAGAGAAAGTGGAAAAATCTGTGAGCCTTTGGAGGAGTCTCCATAAATATCTGTACACATTGGGAAAGGCTTTTTGTAGGCATGCCTTATTTTTTGTCTTACTCTTACAATGACTTGAAAACCATGAGGAACCTTCTTGCCATTCCCCAACAAGCCCTACCGAGCATCAGGTGGTTGTCTTTGGGCACTGCCCATTTAGCCTTCGTCATGAATCACATCTTCACAGCACATGGCTTCATTTTGCAGCTGTAAGATGGCACTTCCTCGCCATGTTCACATGTCAGCCAGGGGGAAGGTGCAGGTAAACCCCTGCTCAGGGTACATGCAAATCCCCCGCCAGAGCCTTTCATTAGAGCTTCATATAAACCCGAATACACAGAGCAATTTCTGCTTCTCACAAGCATTGTTTTTAACTTCTGTTTTTCTAGCCTAAATTTATTCAAGCCCAGTCTATACTTACTCATTTTTTTCTAAGCCAGTGTTTTACCTGTTCACAGATCCCCGTTTTCTTTGTACAGTTACATCTCTTCTCCACTTTTATACTTTAAAGCATGCCAAACTGCTCTGGCCTCCTCTCCCAGAGGAATTCCCTGCCTGCTTATCCCAGCAGCCATGCCCTCAACCCGCGCAAGGTTCAATCAATCTTTCTGGGTGCTGACAAGGACCGTACGGAGGATATCAGATGGGTCCCACCATGAACTCGTACAGCGATGCTAACATTTCTCACGCTCCACCAGACTTACCCCTCCCGCTGTGTTTTAACGCCACATTTACCTTTGCCACCGGGGTGTCACGGTAGTGCTTGCCAACCTGTGGACACAACCCCTACACATAAGCAATTTCCAAATACGCAGTTCCCAGTATCACACAGACATCTCTGCTCCTAACCCGTGGTGCGTCATCCCGCGTGTCACACAGCCCAATTTCATCCCATCTGCCCGTTAACCTTTGGAAGGCAGGAGCCCGAGCTGCACTGACACCACCAAGGATGCTGAGAACTGTCAGACTCAAAAATATGTTGCTTTGCTTTCACATGCAATGTGATTTTTAACCAAAAGCGTCTGAAGCATTTAATTGCTCCATGTTTCATCCGAGAAGGGATCGCTGCCAGCTCAACCTTGCTGACGCTGAGACTTGCAGCAGATGCAGAATGGACGCTGCGAACTCGCTCCAGTGCCAGCAAGATGACGTGTCAAATGAAGCCAACCCCAGGGTGGTGGCCGTGAAGACACATCTGGGTTTCCCCGGGGCTGTCCAGCCATCGCAACGGTCACAAAGGAACACGTTAGGAGCGATTTAGCGTGTTGGCATAAAACAATATATGGGAATCCATGCACACAAAGACAAGAAGAAAAAAGCAGCTGATGTCTGTTCGGGACTATTTGAGTTTTGAGGACGATTTGGATTCTTGTCCCATTAGTCACATTACTTAGGATTTAGCCCTAATTAACTAGCTGTTCCTCAGACACGTTAAAACAAAAGAAGTGGAAAAAGGAAAAAAAAGAAAATAGTCTCACCATCTTATCCATAAAAAATGAAGGTTATAAAGCTGACTTAATGTATTACACGTCGAAAAATAATGCCCTGATGTAACGAAGTCATTTATTTTCCAGCCTTCAGACCAGCTAATGAGAACTTCCCCACCTTCCGGCTGGGTTGAAAGCTGTAACCTTGATTGGCACCACTATTATTTTATTTAAAGAACACTTCTCCATTCACACAGCTGAACTTTATCCTCCCGTGAACTGTTTACTCACAATTTTAGCACATGTGGTCAAGGAAGACTTTCAAGACAGTGCAAGACCAAACGCGCGAACCCACAAACACCCCCAACATCCCGCCGCAGGCAGAGGAGCTGCAGCGTGGACCACGCTCCTGCCAGATTAACCTCAGCCCTGCTGCCGGTCTCCTCCTCTCAGCAAAGAAGTGATGAAGCTTTCGGAAGCCCTGAGGAGATGCAGAAGCTGAAGGGCTGACCACAGACCCAAGAGGCAGAGCTGAAGTTCTCCGCTGCTCCTCCAGCCCATGCTGCACCCCAGGACAGCGGGTCTCAGGAGGAAACCCAGCTGCCTTGAAGAGCGAACTCAAGTCAAACGCAGGAAAACTCCTCGCGAGCTGGAGACCACCACAAACTTCCCACTCCCACAGCAAAGCACACCTTTGGGTCTGCCTTCTCCAACATACGCAAAAACCCCACAATGAACACCAAAAAGCTACATCCCGAGCAAAGAGGAAAACTTGCTGAACCTTGCAGGTTCTCCTCCTTGGCCAGGATGATGAAAGTTCAGACAGGTACTGGCAGATATCAACCCCACGGTGTAACGCATCACGTAGCCACTATCGTGGTAAAACTTCTACAGCACAAGACAGACCGCACAACAGCAAGTCTTTGCCTAAATCCTGGGATGTCTGGGAACGCTGCAATATATTTTTTACATATTTCTTCATGCTGCCCTTGGCTTTTAAAGAGGTGTCTCTTGACCTCACTCAGAGGTCTCTGACCTCTTGCTCAAGAGCAAGGTCTCCACGGCAGGGCCAACCGTACGGGTGGGTGCAAAGAAATGAGCCCACAATCTTACTTCACAAGCAGCACGCTTAATTTGTTTTCAAGGGCTTTTGGGCATTACCCGGGGGGTTGTTATTAGGATTTTGTTATACTCACGTAACATGAGGAGGCTCCAATTGCAACGTGGACCCATTTAGCTTGGACTTGCCAAAACAGATGGGAAGAGGACAGTTCCTGTCCTGAAAAAAACCTAAATCTAAACATACCGGACAAAGTTAGATCAAAATTAGGATGTATTACAGCTGTGTTACAGGCAGAGAGCGGAAGAATTTTGGCACCTAATTCTTATTTCAGCAACACTCTCTGGGGATATCACCTTAAAGAACCTCACTCAGGATCACATAAGGAGTCTTGCAGCAGAACCTGAAATAGGACCCAAATCTCCCAATTACAAATCCAATGTCTTAATTACAAGTCCCCCCCAAAATACCTGCGTGCCCAAACACTGGTCTCTGGAGTTTCCCCATGGTTTATCCTGGAGTGCCCCCACCCAGTGTGCCCTCTCCTTCCCTGAAACAGGCTCACTGTGGTGCTTACTCTCCCGCTCGAAAATAAGAGGTGGTCTCCCAAAATACTATTCCACAATGCAAACACCAATAACACATGCACAATTTCGGTCTGAGGACTTTCAGCCAGTGTTCTGTTAAAAAGATGTATGTTTTGTCATTAAAAACAACAACAAATAAATGTTAAAAACACGTCATTTCATATTTTATATGATTGGCACCATTTTTTAAAACACGGTGATTTGCAAGTTACAGTTTTCAAAACCCCAGCAGGACTCTTCAGTAACAGTCACATAATCTTAAAAAAATAAGAGATCTGACCAATTACAGTAAGTAACAAAAGTCCTAACTATTATTTAGTTAAAAAAATAATTACTTATTTATCCTGAGTTGGATAATTATCCAGAATTATGAGGGGAAAAAGTATTTAAATCTGAATTACATACACATGTTAGGTCCTTGAACATAACATATTACACTTGAGGTTTGGTGCTCCCCCTTTGACCCAAATGTGATTTAGTTGAATGCATATTAATCAGCCTGTACTCAGTAACACACTTGTCACTTAGCTGCTTTGTTAGGAAACTCTGATCCTTTTCTGATGTGATTTGCCTCGTGCAATTGCAGTAATATTAAGAAAATAGTTCTGCGCTTTGCCACTTCTGCCGAGGCTCGTTTTACAGCTTTGTACGGAGCAACTGGGTGGTCCATGGGAGTTTTTTTTTTAGTAGTGATTCACCTCTCTTTATTGCTTGGAAGTCAGAAGCAAGGTATCTTATTTCCACCAGCCCTTAAAAATCAGGGGAATCAAAAATAATACAAGTTTGGCGTTTTCTGGTCTGTGGGTGGAATCACGAACCTGACACATTTTTAACTTCAGTTATTTTGACCGAGTCTCGACGCTCGCGCCAGCGGCTGCGACTGCTGCCCAGGTACCGGCAGCGGATTCAAACACGGGTTAAAATTATACCCTGCCCGAGGGGGGCTGAGCACCGTGAGCCCCTCAGCTTTGCAAAAATAAACCTCAAAGGAACTCCCGCTTCGAAGTCGATTAACAAGAAAACAGATGATTTTTCAAACATGCTGAGGGGTGGCTGTCCTAGCAAACGGTTTTGTGGCCGTTTTTGCATGAGATATGTGTTATTTGATTGATGTGTCCGGCCAGCATTAAGGGCGAAGCTTTGTCAGCTGAGCAACCGGTGTCTTCTGCAGCACTGATCCTGCGAGCGCGGCATCCCCCAGGGCTGGTGGATCCTTTGCGATTCAAACTAGTATTTGCCTTGGCAGGCAGCGCACATTTACCCAAAGCCTTCCTTTTCTGCGTGAAACCTCCTAAGCCTGTGCGTCCTGCTCCGGCAAAGTGGAGTTGCGCTGGTAGCTGGTGGGAAATTTAATTTAACATGAATTTCTAAGGGCGGTGAGGGCAGAGATCATAG